AAGATGAATTAAGAGATATGTTTTCTATTCCTTCCATGGTCTATAAAAGTTGCTCAATAAATATGACCTATTATTCTTGCTATTTTATTATTAATTATTTACCCATCTAGATACTCTGAGCTTTAACCTTGGAACAATTTTTAGAGAGCCATAAAGTTATAAACCAGTGATCATTTTATGTATCCCCACTGAAATACTTTGTCCTTCATCATGATCAATGTAAATAAATATTATTCATTAATTCACTCACTCTACAAACAGTAGTTATTTAAGGCTGACAATAAAGCTGAACACTGGCAGAACATTGAGGTTAAAAACAAAGTCTGTTCTCCAGGACTTTATAGTCATATACACCAATGGCTTCCAGAACAGTGTTTGACACTGAAGTTTTCAAGAAACAAAATATTAAAATTTCTGTTTATATTTTTATCTCATCCTTTTAAATGGCTATTTGGTGCACATTTTATATAGTACAAATATATTTATAGAGTTGTACATAAAAATATTTCAGAAATACAAATGTTCAGATATTAGAAAAAAATTAAAATTATACTGATGCAGGCATATGATGTAACAGTTTAGAGATCATGGTATGAACAAGCCTAAGTATGAAAAGTATAATTACAGAAATATATGAAGTAAAGAGAGACAAGGAAGAGGACAATTTTCCTGAATGTGGAAGTTTAGGGAACAGATATTTAAGGCTGAATCTGCCACATCAAAATAGCACGAGATTAGGGACTGTGAATGACAATGATTGTATGGTTGATATGAAAAGAAAGCAGGGACCAAGTGCTATGAGCACTAAGAAGGAGCTTGCTCGTGGAGAACTCTGCATGCCATGCTTAGGAGTTGGTATTTCATTCTGTTGTCAACTGAGAATTATTGGCATTTTAATAAGGAGAGGTATATTCAGATTTGTATTTTAGAAAAATAAAAATATTGAGATTTAGCATTTTTCTAATGATTATGGTGAGTTGGGCATTGTCCTGTATCTTTCATATGCACTGTGTTTGTTAAATTTAATGTTCACTCTCTATGAAGTTGAGACTATTTCGAGGCTTGTTTATAGATGAATAAAGAATAAAGAAGGTAACTAATTTGCGCAAGGTGGAGAGCTAATGAATGGTGGTGCTAGGACTCAAAGCTGGGTTTGATGGACTCAAAAGTGTGCTCTCTCCATTGTAACAGTAGTGTGGAGTATGGTGTAAGGCTGAAGGCTATTAACAATCAGTTGTAAACACACCAAGAGAGATAGTGCAAGTCTCTCCAAGCTTCTGTGCTGAGCCAGGACCAAGCATTGAGATTAGTAACTGAAACCAGTTCAGCAAATATTTAAGGTATGCCTCCTGTGGGGATGGGTGGAATTCAGTGTGGCCACTGTTTATATTGGCACCATAAAAACAGGCTATATTGTCCATTATGACATTCAGTATGCCCCTCTTAAACAAAGATTAAGGGATTTATTTTCATGAAAATGTCTCCCTTTCTTGACAAACAATAAGATTCCTTTTTTGAAACCATTAGAAATATATAATTTAATAAGTTTACCTGTATGTTTCAAGGTTCAGAAAGCTGAGGGTCAAAGTTAGTTGCTGATTATATCACTTACAGTAATCTAACATTTCTTTCTTATTTCTACTTCTTTTGTGTATTTTAAAAATGTATTCTTTGTAGGAATTCAACTTTTATTCAAAGTTATATCAATTTTTGGGAAGAATATGTCATGTGACATAAATGACTATGTGAGAAAATAATTAAAAAAATAGTGTCCTACAATTTATAAAAAAAATGCAGCTTTCTTTCCTTGAACTGAGGACTTTTATCACATAAAAAAGCAAGAAGAAAAACAATTGAGAAAGTTAAAATATTTCTAATCATATGAGGTGTTCCAAATTCCAAACATCCATAACCAGGACTCCTTAGTAAACAGACTTCTTCACACCCTGACCCTTAATTTTTTTATTAGAAGATTAATACTGTGTATCTTAGCAACCACACCTGGACCCAAGGCACATGGGAAAGTCTTGGCAGTATTCAAGGTCAAAATGCTCTAAGCTTAGATTGAATGCCAGGAAACTATATGCCACTTTGCTTCTCAAATGCATTAATACATTTGTATAGATGCAAATAGAGAAAGAAAGAAGGAAGAAAGGAAGGGAAAAGGAGTGAAAAATGCCCAGTGGATAGGTAAATAACTGTCCACTACAAGCCAACTTAATCAAATATGAATTTAGGTATCCATCCAATGCCAGCAAATAATTGGCTGACTTTTAGGCTTGGATCATAACTATGGGAATAAATTAGGAATAATTAGTGATTGCTGAGGGTAAAATTAAGATTGTGTTCCATAAACAAATAAACTTATTAGTGCCTGCATACATATTGGAGACAATACCTAAATAGCATTTCATGGACAGAAGTACAGGAGCTCAGTACATCTTCCTAGTGCAGGTAGGTATTAATAGTTAAATGCCTCACTAGCAAAGTCATAACACTTTGAATTTAGAGCAAAATGATAAGATAATGTCTTGTGCATACTCTTGTTTCTTCACATGTAGAAATTAGAGAACTACTCTAAGGGAAGACTCAATTTCCAATGGCTATAACAAAGCCAGAGTCTCTAACTGTCCTAAGGGTGAAACAAGAGAGTGACTGCATATAGTGGAGGTTCCCTAAGATTTGGGATTGGCCCATGAAGTCCACAAATGATTAAAGGGGTAAAATAGCCTAGTGAACATTGCTGAAACAGAGTGAATGTGTATTAATTTGCCTCATGAATCCTAAATCAGGTTAAAATTAGCAACCTATATTGAATCATTTTGCTTAGAGAAAAAAATTAAATTAGAGTAGCTTGGAACACATTAAAAGAATTACATAATCTATTCATTTTGACTTATAATTTTGATCATTATATTCACACTCTGTGAGTCATAGAAAATGAAATGCCTTAAATTTTTTACAATCAATATGAAGAATTGTGAGAGTGGATCTTAGTAAAATATTAGCTATTTAAGTTTGAGTTACTGGCTCACATAAGGCATGGAGAAATGGCTTCAGTCTTTATGGTGGACTTACAGAATTTATCCTTAAGCAGGAACACTTTGCCAATAGAGATTTCATTTTTACTTTCTAATATGATTGCAGGAGTTAAAAAACAGGGTGTGAAATTGAAAATATGTATGTCTCCAAGAGCATTTCAGGGGAAAACACACACACACACACACACACACACACACA